TTCTATTCTATTCTATTCTATTCTATTCTATTCTATTCTATTCTATTGTTTCTGGAAAAAGCAGACAAAAACAACGTCTTTTGTCATTGTGATAGAAATGAATATTCATTTCTTAGTAAATATGACTTCCCCTTTTCAATCTGATCTTAAACATATAGCAAACTGTGAATATCTCTGAATGCTTTGGATGAGTGAAGCAGAATTTTCTCAAAGGTAGATTGGAATCAGAGACCTGGACACAATTTTGTTGGGTCACAAGTAGGTGTATTTGTGCTCGTGTGGGTTCATAAGCTGTGCAACTCATCCAGAACTAAATATGCTAAATTATGGAAACTGAAGATCCATAAAGCTGAAGCCATTTGGTCTTGCTAGGGTTCAGTCGAAATCTCTTATCCCTGATTCCCACAATATTGTTTCCTGAGTGATTAGCTTGGCCAAGCTGTTGACATTTCATAGCATAAGAGGGTTGACACTCTCCTTTGGAGTTTCATGGTTCCTGGTAGGAACCCCAAACTTACGTCTGCAGCATCAGAGTCTCCATCTTCTCTTGGCCCTTCTTGCTTCTCCTCCTCGATCTGGAAGAATATGCAGCTTTCAAGGCATAGGCCAGAGTCCTAATAACACTGTGTAAATGGAGGTGAAAAGGGATCTATATCCTCCTCCTTTCCTCACCAGGCTCCAGTGGTGCTTTCTGGGTGCATCTTTTCTGGCCTTTGACAGAAACAATTTGCTTTGAAAAAGAACAGTGGAAATTCCATTTTTCCAATTTCACAAAGAGTTTGGTTCCAAAGGGACCATCTCCTGCCTTTTTCTTTTCCTGAAAAGCAAAGCTCCAGATGCTATGGACATATTTGCAAAGACTTGGCTGTCCCAATACCAAATGCTCAATGCTTTCCACGATCCAGACTTTCCCTTCAATAGATCCTGGCACACCTTCAAATGTTAACTGGAAAGGACGAATTCTGTACCAAAGGTTAACACTTTCTATGTATGTTCACAAAGATGTTGACTTGTCTCCACTTAGAGAGGGCCTCCCTGAGGGGTGCTCTGTCCAGTTGCTGTGAATCGTTGTGATATAACTACACAAATCCCATTCCTGCCAAGCATAGGAGTGAAAATCCTCTCCTTCATCTGTGTCTGAAGTAAGGAGACTGATCAAGGTCCATCTGAAATGGAGGAGCAGTTGGACAATTGCTGGATATGTGATCCCTTTTGGAGGAAGGATCCTGTGGAAAAAAGGAAATTGACTTCTATCATTCAGAGCCTCTGAAACAATGGCATCTCTGATCTGAAAATAATAATGAAGAATGCTATGCTATATTTGGGTTCAAAGGAAGTCCAAAATACTAGATTGTAATAAATCCAAATTGCTATTCAATAACATCTTAGAATGAATTATAGAATTATAATTATAGAATTCTATAATGAATTATAGAATTATAAAATACAGAATTATATTTTATTAAGGTAAAGGTAAAGGTTCCCCTTGCACATATACGCTAGTCATTTCCAGCTCTAGGAGGCAGCACTCATCTCCATTACAAAGCTGAAGAGCCAGCACTTTCTGAAGACATCTCCATGGTCATGTGGCCAGCATGACTAAATGCCGAAGGGACATGAAACACTGTTACCTTCCCACCAAAGTGATTCCTATATTTCTACTTGCATTTTTACATGCTTTCAAACTGCTAAGTTGGCAGAAGGTGGGACAAGTAATGGGCGCTCACTCTGTTACACGGTGCTAGGGATTCGAACCACCAAACTGCTGACCTTTTTGATTGACAAGCTCAACATCTTAGCCACTGAGCCACTACATCCTTATTTTATTATAGGGACACATATATTATTAATTGCACACTATCAAGATAATAGGGGGTACCTAAATTTTTTTAAAAAGTTAAAAAAGAATAAGAATGAAGAATGCAAACCATATTTTTGTACCATGTTAGCAGCAAAGGAAACCAGGCCACCAAAGAACAGGTGGCTGGATACCATCAAAGCTGACACCAATCACAGCATAGAACAACTCAAAGAAGCAGTGAAAGATTGAAAGATCTGTCCCATAAAATTGCCAATAGTCAGACATAACTGAATGAATAACATCACTGTAACATCATCGACTCAACTCAACAGTTTTGTTCAAATGATTGCCTCCATTATATTTTGTTTGTGAACTCTGACACAAGAAATATGTTTATTATTAATATAAGGACCTCAATACTTCATTGTACAGTCCAATATATTTATCCCTCCTTCCTTATAAATTGACATTGGAATAAATGTTATTTCTACTATCTCTGGAGAACAAGCATCTTCACTATAAAGGGTTTGGTTAAATCTTCCATAACTAAGCATTATGTCCAACTCCTGAAATCTTGCTCAAGTAAATACCATCCTAACATGTTTGTGCATGTTTGCATAGAAATTTGGAAGGTCCATTTATAGAGCCTCATCCCATTCAGAGTGCCAACCCGAATGATGGTGGCCATAGATTTCTTTTTGTAGATCATTCTCCATTCTCTTTTTTAAGATCATTCTCCAGTTGCACAGACAAACAGAGACACCAAAGTTCCTGATACAATTTCTCAATTGTACAAACCAAAAGGTGTTTAATTAAATTTTTGTTTGTTTGTAAAAGATCGGATTTTTGGATTCTCTCATTTTCCATAGCTTTAATTTTAGACTATGAAATATATTTCCTGATTTTAGACAAAGAGCAAAGTGTATAAATTCTCATATCAGCTCTGAGGGAAGCAGCTAAAGTCCTTTTATCCACCCATAAAATACTTTTCATATGCTGTGGTTTTCTGTGTTCTAGTCATGCTATATTTTAAGTACCAACATCAGCTCTATATGAGAGTATTTGGGTAACCTTGCCATTATAGAGTGGAATACGTTGAGGTAATGAAGCTAGAATGCTATGGTGTGTGTTTTTTTTTTAAATTTAAGCAGCAAATTCATTTATGGCCTTCTTCTAAATCAGTTCCTTTGACAAAGAGAGAACTTCAATCCAGTATCAAAGTAAACTACCATGAGATAAGGAAAGATAATTTATTCTATTGGCTCATCATCAACCAGCCATCTATGACTACGATGTCATTTTCAAAGGCCATACATTTGAGTTTCATTTATTAATAATCACAGAATTGATGAAGGAGAATATTTGAAGCCTACATTACCAAACTAGGTAACTTCAATAGTACTAACAGGGAGTGAAGTTTGCTCACATTTTTTAATTTGGTTATTTTCCATGTCAGTATGAGTGGAAGTGGTCATGGTTTTTCCTTGTTTGGGCATTATTTAAACAAGCACAGTGTTAATTGCCAAACAAATGCAGTAAAAGGAATGTATATTTAATAATACATGTACTAACAGTGGCCAGAATAGTGTTCATACAACATTGGAAGGGAGAGGAGATCCCCACAGAACAAAATTTTTAGCATGTACAAAAATGAATAAACTAACATTTGAAATTAAAGAAAAGGAAGACACTGAATATTTTGAGGCATGGGATCTATGTTGTCGATGGTTAAATAAGAGAAACAGGAGTTAGAATTTTGAAAATTACAAGAGAAATATTAATTTTATTATTACGGTTGATCACTGTAACTTATTAATTTTGATTAATATTAACAATTAATATGTATTAATATTATGAGGGAAAAGCACTGTCCTTATGAGATTGCTATTAGAGAGTACTATTATTATTACTACAAGCGCAAGCACACTGCAACAACC